CTGTACTCCCAGCTAGAGCCACTGTACTCCCAGCTAGAGCCTCTGTACTCCCAGCTAGAGCCTCTGTACTCCCAGCTAGAGCCTCTGTACTCCCAGCTAGAGCCTCTGTACTCCCATTAAGGATGTTGTTACTTGCTATTGAGTCAGTTCTGACTGATAGCAACTCTGCATAGGGTTTCCAAGAGTGGCTGGTGGGTTTGAACTGCTGACTTTTTGGTTCAAACAGACCTAGTGGTCCATTGTTTAACCTATAGCGCCATACCATGATGTTGTTGTTAAGGGTTGTCGATTCTATTTCAACTGATAGTGACACTGTATAGATTTTCTGAGGGTGTAAATCTTTACGGGAGCAGAAAGCCTCATCTTTCTCTCCTGGAATGGCTGGTAGTTTTTTCTTTTAAATGTTGCCTAATTTCCATGGGATTCCTGGTGGGGCACTGTAGGATAAGCACTAGTCTGCTAACCGAAAGATCAGCAGTTCAAACCCACCAGCTGCTCCTCAGAAACACTATACAGGTTTGTTACGAGTCAGAACTGACTCAAGGGCAGTTAACAACATATTTCCATTGAGAAGGTAGTTCTGCCCAGATGGAACAGAGTCCGAAAACATGAAAGTGGTTAGAAGCCTAGAATTTGACAGAACTAACCCTGAGAACTGCTAACAAGTGGATACAACCACTTTGTGTGCAGCAACAACCTGTTCCAAGGAAAATGAAGGCACATGACAACTTCTGACTGTAAAGGACTTTGACAGTAGTGTTCTGGTATCTGAAATGTGGAACTGTCATGGGTATCGTAACAGTAAAGTCACTGGTTAACACACTAGCCTGCTAACTTAACTGAAACATGGAGGTTTCAAATCTAGAAGTATCTTGGAAAAGCTTGGAGATCTACTTATGAAACATTTTGTCACTGAAAACCTATGGAATCGTTTCTACTCTGACACACAGAGGTTGCCTTGAATTGAAATCAAGTTAACCACAACTGTTTTTTTATTATGATAGCATACCAGTATCAATAAATATGTATGCCACCAAGTCATTTCCAGCTCATAGTGACTCTGTGTATAGAGTTTCCCAACAGATTAAAACTCCTGACCTTGTGGTTAGCAGCCGAGCTCATAATGAACTCAAAACTATATTCCTTAGAAACAATACATATTACATACTGCAACACTGATAAACACCATATAAAAAGAAACAATCAAGCAAGAGGGGTACATTGCCATTTCATTTCCTTAAAAGCCAACAAGTGATTAATTCTATGTTGACTCACCCAACCCTTTAAAAAAATCTAAGACCAACCGGCACATGAATGATTTGTGGGAAATCTGCTCTTTTAAAGTCTTCTGATAAGTGAACCATTTAAAATTTAGAAAGATTTATTCTGATTTTCTTTTGTTTGACGTCTTTGGAAAGAGCAGTAAGGTCAAGTTGTTTTTTCCAGGATTTTATGGAAGGTTGCTTCCACTTCTACTTTAAGAACTTAATAACAGTGTTCCTCTACGCATCATTTTTTTTTTTTTTTTTTTTACTAACAAAATTTAAGGAAAGTTGTTGTGTTCTTAAGTGGCCTCGAATCGATTCTGACCCATAGCGACCCTGTATAGGCTTTCTGAGGAGCAGCTGGGAGAGCTTGAACCATTGATATTGCAGTAAAAACGGTAGTGCAGTCTGGCACATTAACCCTCAGTGCCACACCAGGACTCCTAAGGAAAGTTAGGGCTACTGAATTAAGAGACTTCCATCCTGTTGCTTCAGGTAATTAATTATAATAGAAGGCTGGCTTTCTATCAATGGAATGATTTTTATTTAAAAAATATGAAGAATGATTTTTATTTAAAAAATATGAAGAAAGTTAATTTTATATTTTAGTATACTATATGTTCTTGGCGCTGTGGTAGCATTGTTGTTGTTGTTGTTGTTAAGTGCCGTTGAGTCGGGTCCGACCCATAGCGACCCTGTACAGGGTTTCCGAGGGTGTAAATCTTTACGGGAGTAGAAAGCCTCATCTTTCTCCCGCGGAGCAGCTGGTAGTTTCGAACCGCTGACCTTAAGGTTCGCAGCCCGATTCGTAACCACTACGCTAGCATAGTGGTTACAAATCAGACTGCGAACCGCAAGGTCAGCAGTTGGAAACTACCAGCTGTTCCAAAGATTTACAGCCTTGGAAACCCTGATCAGGGTCACTATGGTCGGAACCAACTTGATGGCACTTAACATAAGTTCTTAAGAGTCCTGGTGTGTCATTGTAGGTTAATGTATTGTTTTCTTTTTAAATGTGTTACTGTGAATTATGTGATAGTTTACATGGGAGAACATAAGCTTTATATTCGTCCTATCATACATTGTTTCAGTGCCATGGTTACAATGCCCTCCATGCATCAGCAACCAACTAAAGGGTATATCCTACACCTGCCACCCGGACATTAGCACACAGCCCCTCTCCCTCTATGGGTCTAAAGTCCCCAGCCACTCCATATCTCCACGTCATTGTTTTTGCCTCCATCTCTGGCATTACTGTTTCTCTATGCAGGGTCCCACATTCCGCTCTTCTCCGTTGATGGTCCCAGGGACCACCACTCGTAGACTGCAAAGTAAGTCACTCCCCTCCTTTTAATACAAAATGTCTACCTTTACATTTCCAACCCTCACCTTCATTGCTCACCTTCATTGCTTCATTGCTGTTTTTCCCTCACTTCCCCTTATTGGTGACGAATGTGGTCACCAA